TAGCTTTAAATCGGATTTTTCCAAATACGTAACTACAAAGAGAATGGGGGGATCAGTACACTGAAGATGTCCCAAACTTTCCCAAAAAAACAACTTTCGCGGGAACTAGGTGAAAAAGAAACTTTTAAATCGATTATTAATTTGGAGGGTTAGTAACCTGGAAAACCCTGATAAAGCCACTAATCGGTTTTTTTTCCAATCAAGATCGATGCCAACAGTTTTCTAACTCCCGGGAAACAATTTAACATAGGTGAACGGGGACGACAGGTGTTTTTTAAACATACTTATTATTATTTTATTATTATTATTATAATATTATTATTATTATTGTTGTTGTTGTTGTTGATGTTGTTGTTGTTGTTGTTGCTGTTGCTGTTATTATTATTATTTTTTTATTATTATTATTATTATTATTATTATTATTATTATTATTAATTAATATTATTATTTATAATATTATTATTTTTTATTGTTTCCTCTTGTCCTTCAGTCGATCGCAGGGCCTTCAGATACGAACCTGAGGAGCTACCACTTGAGCACGAGGGGCCGAGTCTCGTGGATCAACCCACCACCCCCCCAGCACCCTCCTCTCACCTCTCCTGGATGCACAAATGCCTAAAAAGAATTTTAAGACCATGATGGAGAAAAAATTTATGAAATTCCAACACAAATGGAAAAATAAACATAAATGCAATATAATGCGATCCTTTAAAAAACAACGTTTCGCCCAAAACAATAGGCGTTATCAAGTCACAAACAGATCTACCTGGATAATAAAATTTTAATATATATATATATATATATATATATATAATATATATATATATATATATATATATTATATAATATATATATATAAATATATATATATAATATATATATTAAATATATAAAAATGCAAAACAACCACTTTGAAAAAATAGAGAAATTCCCCAACGCATTCGTGACTACTCACATTAAAAAGGAACTATGAAAGTAAAGCATCGAAGGAAGGTATATAAGGGGTCCGGGCCCAAAACACCTCACTATCAGATCCCACAACGGTTAAACACCTGACGCGCGCCCGGCCCAACTAGACAGGTCCTTTGCACAACCCACCAACAAACTATTCTACCCAAGAAAATTTTAAAAATTATTATTGTCCATGTATTATTAAATTCTTCCCAAATTCTATTAATAAAAAAATGGATCTAATTTATATAAACCAAAGGAAATATTCATATTATTGTCAAAACTGGGTTTTTATGAAACAAGATCAATATATTCCGTCGACCATGGACTTGCTTGATACTACTTTTCAACTTTTTGAAAACAATTGGGTAGTTAAAATCTCTTACATGAATAAAAAGAGCATTGGAAAACTTATCCAGTTCTAATGCTATATTTATGTTTTTTAATCTTATTTCGAGATTTTTACCAGTTTGACCGTAATAAACTTTACGCAAATTTTACAAGGAATCTTTTAGACACATCCATCACATTTGTGTGGTTTTTGTGCTTTTATTAGTCCATACAAGTAAGGTAAAGATGGATTAGTGGAAGTAAATTTGTTTAAAACAAATTTCATTTTTTCCCTTTTTTCAGAAAAAAAATTTTATTGTTTTATTAAAATTGCTTTTAAACCGGTTTTCTAGGAAATTTTTTTCCCAAATTTAGAATGGTTTCAGTAAAAAACTAAAGATTATCTTTTTTTTTTGGGTAATCATTTTCTTTCATAATTACTATTGCTTTATTTTTCGCTTTGGGAAAAGGCGCTTTTTTTTATTGTTTTTAAGTGTATCATAAAAAACTTAAAGAATTCTTTGAGGGCAGTTTGGGGAAATTTTTGGTTTTAACATAGAGCTATATACCTTTTCCTTTACTAATTTTAATTTTCATCAGAGGAAAAATCAAAAAATTTTTTTTAAAAGTTACAAAAGGTTTTTGAAATTTTCAACATTTTTAAATTTTTTTTTTTGAAGTTGCAAAACAAAAACCCAAAAACCTAGGGGCAGCATTGTATGTTTTTCCCTGAAAATTTCATCGATAATTTTTATTAAAAAAATTATTATTACCCATCTTTGGCCAATCACTATTTCAATTAAAATTCTAATTTTCTTTTTTTTTTTGGTTTTTGATTCAAACAAATTTTTCTGAGTTTATTATAGCAATGATCCAACAAACAGTGTTTCCACTCAGATAAAATGGCCGTTTAAAATAGAAAATTTTTTTGTTTTTTTTCCCAATTTTTTGGGAATGTTTCCTTCTCCTGTTTTTATAGTTTTTTTCAATTTTTTTCTAAAGAATAATTCTAAATAAAATAATCAAAAGGACGATCTCTCAGGGCAAGGGGGTCATTGGGAAAAGAAAATTTGGGGCAGAACTTGTTCTTTTAAAAAAATTTTTTAAAAATTAAGTCAAAATTTTCATTTTTGGGGGCCCTTGATCAGTGCAGAAGAAAACTGGAAAAAAAAGATATTTTGATTAGGAAAGCTATCGAAAAAATTTTTAAGACCCGTGGGGGTATCCTTTAAGCAATAAGACACAGTAAAAAAGGTGATTTCAAAGAAAATGCAAAACAACCACCTAAAAAGAAAAAAGAAAAATTTCCCAAGCGTTTTCCCGTTATTTACCACATTATCAAGGAACAAAAAAAAAGTAAAGCAACCCAAAAAAACTTAATAATGTTGAAATTGCAAAACCTTTTTTGAAAATTTAAAAAATTTTTTTCTAAATTTATCCTCTGATAAAATTTAATATAAAAAGGGAATTTGGTATAAAACCTATGTTAAAACCAACTTTCCCCAATTGCCCCAAAAAATTTTTTAAGTTTTGTGATACATTTAAAAACAAAAAAAATTTTGGGCCCTTACTAAACCCGACAAATAAAATTAATAGTAATTTTTAAAAAAAAATAAATTACCAAAAAAAAAATAAATAATCTCTTAAAATGATGCTGAAACCTATTCTAAATTTGGGGGAAAAAACCCCCTAAAACCTTTAACAGCAATTTCAATAAAACAATAAAACTTCTTTTGAAAGGCAAAGAAAAAATTAGTCAAACAATTTACTTACACTAATCCATTTTTAAACCTTTACATGTTGGACAAAAAAAAACACAAAAACCCCAGGAATCCAGCAACCAATTTTTAAGCCCATAGGGCCCAGTTTCATAAAAAATTATCCAAATGGCTTGTTGAAAAATTTTAAACCCCTTTATTGTTGGCAAAATTTCTAACACTTTTAAAAAACAACATAGACAATTAAAAAATTAAGCTCCTTGACTCCCTTAAAAATGTTTTTAACATGGTTAGTTTTGATTTTACTTCCTTTTTACGAAAGTTCCTTTGATGATTTATTAAGTTTCTTTTCTGAAAACTCTTAAAACTTGATTTACCTTTGCCATTTCCCCCACCTATTCTTTAAACCCTTATTAAATTTTGCATTGTTGTTAAAAAATTTTGTTTTTAAATGATAAGTTTTACACTCAGTTTTTTTTGGGAAATTGGCAAGGGGAAAATCCTCTTTTCACCTGTTTTTAAAGCAACCTATACAGGAAAAATTTTTAAAAACAATTTTGTTTAAACAAATCCCCCAAATAGGCAAAAGGCCCCCGAAAATGTTTGAGATATTTTGTGTCTTATCC